CACCACTTCAGGCAAATGGTTATCCACAATCCAACAATTGTGGTTGATAAGTGAGGACCACTTGTATTTGGCACTGTCTAGCTTTACTAAAGTAGTCAGTTTGTGGTAGCACTCACATTTTATCAAAAATTCCACACATATACATCAAGTTCTCTTCAGATAGAAAAGATTCAATCCATTTATAAGAGTAAGATATCAAATAATGAATTAGAGATTCTAAACATTTTTTTAAATTTTTGCTATGTTTAGTTTCCCTTTCAATTGCTGCATTTGCATTACATTTCCACATAAAAATATTCTAGTTTATATGAGCTTTATTATTCTTTCTCACAACCAGTAGTTTTGAAAAGTATACAAGGTAAATAGGTTGAGCCCAATAATATTAAATATAACTATGCTGCAGCTTTATTTCCACAGTTTTACTTCAGTATTTTACTTCCCAAAAAGAGTGTGCTTTTTATTAGCATGATTATCCATTATTTGTAATCTGCTGATTTTTTTCAAAACTCTTAAAGGATTTCAAGTGGGTATGAGACATCAAAATCCCTTTTGTTAAAAAAGAAAGCATATTATGATAGAGAATCATATAGTTATTAGGGGAGAAATCCAGAATGAGATATTTTTCTGTTGCTGAGGTGCAGCAGATTAAGCAGGAGAATTTATGGTACAGCATTCCCTGCTAGGCATTTTTCCACTTCAGTTCCTCCCAAACTATTTTCAAACTATTTTATCCCTTGCTCAACACCATGGCCTTCTGAAGTTTCTTTATACTCCTGTGTGTCTTTTAACACGCCCTCCACAAAAAAATGAAGCATGGTTCTGCATCTCTGCTGATCAAAGAGTGTCAAATCCATTTTCCACATTTTTTTTCCAGGGACTACCACAGTTTAAGCCATGCTGCTTCCATGATCCAGAAGAGTCCTGGAGCCACCACAATGTTTCATGCAGCCCAATTAAAAGTTAACAGGGCATAATAATCATCCCATGTCTCAAAGAGTCTCATTTCCAACAAACAATTATATTGGGATCATTCTCTAATCTTTCATCCAATTCCTGATAGCTCATTCCTAGAGAGAAATAAAAAAAAATGATGATGAAAGATCATTAGTATAATTCTATTGCTTAGGCAAAGTAAGGAAATTGATTTATATTTCCCAAATAATCTAAAGATTGTCCTGGTTTTAGAATTGTTTGATATAATGTTATTCCTATTTACTTTTAAAAATATTTTGTTTCTGCTTTGTTATCTATTAATAAGTTGCTTTATGTGTTCTGAGTAGATGAATACAGGGAATATGATTCCTTACCTGTTTTACAACAAATTTCATCATAGCTATGGCAGCCAGTGTATAGTCGAGCTGGATGACTTCTTTCATCTCGAGCTATTTTTACAGGATATTTCTGGAGCCGACGAATAAGACCCTTCATCAAACCAAACTGGATGAATTTTCTAAACAAGACAAAAATGTGCTCAGAAATATTTAAGAACAACAGCAATAGCACTTAGACTTATACACCACTTCACAGTGCTTTTACAGCCCTCTCTAAGGCATTTACAGAGTCAGCATATTGCCCCCAACAATCTGGGTACTCAGACCTTGGAAGGATGAAAGGATGAGTCAACTCTTGAGCTGCTCAGATTTGAACTCCTGAAGTGAGCAGTGAGTTAGCCTGCAATACTGCATTCTAACCACTGAGCCACCATGGCTCTTAGGACACTGTGCAGAGCTTCTTGTTTTTTTGCTATCCATCTAAATAGCTGATAAAAACAATTTTGAGATCAGCAGGAATGGTATTATATGTATTGCTGGTACAATGTATTGTTGTATTGTTTTGGACTTTTTTTT